GGAGAAGTTGGAGAACAACAGAACTGTGCATTTGAATCACATCACCTCTGTAGGCACAGTAGATTGGAAAAGGAGAATAATAATCTCTGTAATTCATACTTTCGAAGGAGATATTTTTAACATAGCTATACTGCCTACATAGCATGTGACAAGCTATAGAAACAGACTCTTGCTCTCCTGTTCTGCCACCTGCATCCCCTCTGCAGGGCAGACCAGTGTGTAAAATATACATAAGTTCAAACACTGAATAGGGTTGAATCAGACCCACAAGGCAATGGACCCCCTTCTGTCCCTGTGCTGGCTATTTGCATCAGGGGTAACAGCACAGGAGAGGGAGAAGGCTCTGCACAACCACGACGCTCCCTTCTTCTTGGGCGCAGTTTCTCTCTCTCCTCCTTCCTAACACAACCAACAGTGTAAGTGCACCAGCATGTCAGGCCATACATGCTGCACCAGTTTAGACCCAGTGCAGTTTATTCTCATCCTGAAGCAGTGGGGGAGATCAGAGTAACCATCTCCCTCCACTTCCTGCCCCTTGATCTGTGCTCATGGCATAGGCACGACTGAATCCTTAGTGATAAGTTTGGAAGCAACGTGCAGAGACATTCTAAAATACATACCACAAAATGGGTAGGCAAAAATGTAAGGGAAGTAATCAGATTACCGGAACCATCATCAAGGAGTCTGAGCTCCACTGCAGATCCATTCTGTTGTTCAACAGTGGCCATCACAGTTGCACCAAGAACAGGCAAAAATCCTTGACTAACTTCTGCATAAATCACCATTGGATTAGGGAAGTTGTTTGTATCCTTGTTCATGTGGGCTTTCACAGTCACTGGAGGCACAGCCAAAGATGCTGGTCGAGACGTTACTATCATTGATATGACTTGAGATTCTGTGTGGTTATTTTGAATCCAATATAACCAATCCCCCACCTGCAAACCAAGTATATGGCGTATAAACATATAATATAAGACTTCATTAGTTTAAGGGCAGCTTTGTGTTTCCCTTAGTTAATTATTATCTTAGTTTAGGGGAGATTTTCCAAGGCACAAAGGGCAGTTAGGGTATTGCTACAGGAGCACAGGTAAGGTAATTTTGGTACCTTACTTATGATTCTTCGTGCTCTCAAATGTTTGGTTTCTTTCAAATTTAACCTTATATCTGAATTTGCTCAGTTTTAGTGGTGGATATTTGAGAATTATCACATTCTTGGAAGGACTGGAACCTGTATATTATAGATATGTACTCTCAACTTTAACTTCCCCAGAATTCAATGTTTTGTCTGGCAGCCTTGTATACTTGGGATGTGTATAGAGCATAATAAAAAATTAGGAGGAGCACAAACAACAGTTAGATACCCAACTTCCATTGCAAGTCAGTGGAGTTACACCAAGGATAAAATTGGTTCATTAGGAATATGTGTTTATAACTTCTAAAAAGAGAAGGTGCATTTTAGTCTATAAAAATGTTAACATGTTTAGATAATAAAACAAAGTTTAGTCTTTACCTCTGCAGTGCCTGCTATCTTCAGTCGAGCTGTTTGGAGGTTTAGATCACTAACTGTGAAGTTTGACGTTCTATATTCTTTTTCTTTGGGGTCCCTCAGTAAAATGTCTGGTGGAGATGTGCTTCGATCCCATGTAACTACAAAGAAGGTGTCCTTTCCCACAGTGCTATCTACTGTCACTGTACCATTCATCCACTGCTTGACTGCGACACTCTGAGCTGTACTTTCAAGCTATTAGACAAATAAAATATGTTTTATGGCTAGTTATCAGATAAACACTTAAAATACCAGTAATTTCAGAGTGGTTAATTTTCTTCTTAAAGGGGAGAACAAATCAATATTTTATTTATTTAGAGGGCATCTTGAGTGGCTGGTGGACAACTGGCCCACTGCTGGAAGAGGGGAAAGAAGAGGATTAATGCTGGCACCACCCTGAGCAGGTCTCTGCTGTTCTGTGCAGAGCTCAGGGTTGTGCAAAGGAGGCAGAAGCCTCCTGCCACTGTGCCTCCACACATGGAGAACTAGCCAGAGGGCAAGGGCCACATGGACTAGCCATTGAAGGGAGTGGAATGATGAAACCCTGAACAAATTTTCTGTAATGCACAATTGCTTAAGAATGTGAAAATATAGTAACCAAGGGTCTCCTGCCACTGCTCTTTGTGGTCTATCCACCTAGCTATCAAATGATGTCTGTGCAGGAGATTAGTGCTAAATTTCCTCTTCCGCTCTCAGGCTGTTTCTAGAAAGACAGCACAATGAGAGAGCCATACAACCACAGGTAGGGACAACAGAAAATCAATGAGAGACACAGACAGAAATGATAAAACACAGCAAGAAGAGAAACAAGATTTCCTTTACCAACATTGGTATTGCATATGTGGGCCACCAGAATTTACTGATAAGCTACCAATATAAGTTTTATAGTGCTCACTTCTGTTTCATGGATTAGAAAAACTACAATTAGAAAAGTACCTTTTAATAAAATAAATTTCTGTTTAGAATAAAAAAGGGAAACTAGATACTGAAACACTATTTCAAAGAGCATCTGGATGGACATTTGAGAGTCAGGTGTTCAGATATCATTAATGATTTCTTTTTGTAGCAGCTAGTCCAGGAACCCACAAAGGGAGATGCATGTCTTTAATTAGTCATAAGTGGTTCACAGGATCTGGTCCAAGAGGTGACTATAGCTGAACCACCTGGCAATAGCACCAATACTGTAATTAAATTTAACATTCTTGTAGGGGAGGAAATACCAAAGATACCCACCACAGCAGCATTTAATTTCAAAAATGGGAACTAAACAAAAATGAGGAGGTTAAATGGAAATTAAAAGGAACAGTCAGAGGAGTGAAATGCCTTCAAATTGCATGTAAACTTTTAAAAAACAATAAGATAGAGGCTCAAAAGATATGTATACCTCAAATTAAAAAAATGCTTTATTTTTTGTCTCTCTTGCTAGCTGCTCTTCACATTCTTTATGCCTTTCCTAATTATACTTCTGCACTTGATTTGCAAGAGTTTGTTCTGTTCTATTTTCTTCAGTGGATATGACTTCCAATTTTTAACACATGTCTTTTTGTTTCTAACCACATATCAGTTTATATTTTAAAATAAGTCACTGGCAGTGCAATAGTTAAGATTACAGACTACTAAATTTACTCTTAATTGACCAGTTACTGATTATTAATGTGAAAAAAATAAATAAAATTTGAAACTCAGACCTGAATAGACCGTTCAGAAATATTTCCACTTCCTGATGAAATTCCACTGAATGTATCAATTAGGCCATTGGAATCAACTGTATCTGTGGCATAAAACTTTAAGCCTCCTGAAATGTGATTGTTAAAATAATCAGAATAGTAATTAGTGTAAAACAGTAGGTTTTTGTTATGTGCCTTATGCTAGTTTGGTTGTTGCTATAGAGCACAGTGTTAATTTGATAAATTAAATGTTGGTCCCTTATTATCCTTTATTCATGGGGCAGTGCAGGTTGGAACCGCTGGATGGTGGGAAATCAGTTAATACAAATACCCAGAGAGTTCCCGCAGAAAGCAAGTCTGACCTGGGAAATGATCTCATCCGTTCACATTTTAACTCCACCTAGCTTAGTCTGACTAGAATTGTCACCAGTAGCACTTTATCAAGTACAGTGCTCACTCATAGGCTGTTCTTGGTAAGTCTGGATTCTGAGCCATGGACCTGTAAAGTGCAATTCCACTCTGAAAAATGCCTCTGTAAAAATGACATGGTGGAATTCCAAGATAATTGCTTCTCGGTGACTCAGATCAAATCTACTAAGTTTACAAATATAACGTTTGGGCCTCTTTTTCATTTGTTCTGAGCACCCATAATGCCAATGGGAACTTCTGGTGCGCAGTGTCTTTGGAAATCTGTCCCTTTATTTCAAACAGTGAGCCCTGCCAGCTGAGACTGGGCTCTGAAAGACCAGCTGGGTTCTTTCTGGCTCACACATCAATCGCTTAACACTAAATATTCTGTGATCAGAACCTGGTGAACTATTCTGTTATAATCAGAGGTGAAAGTAAGCTGGTTCGGTCCGGTACCGCATACCAGCTCTTGCCGGTTCAACGTGCTGGACTAGACTGGCTTCTCCGGCAGTGATTTAAAGGGCCCAGGCCTCCAACTGCTGCGGGGAGCCCCGGGCCCTTTAAATCACCCACGGAGCTCAGGCAGCCGGGCTCAGGCAGGGATTTAAAGGGCCCGGAGCTCCGGCTGCTGTGGGGAGCCTCAGGCCCTTTAATTTGCCCCTGAGCCCCGGGGCTCCCAGCCGCCTCTGCAGCTGTTAGCTCTGGGGTGATTTAAAGGCCCTGGGGCTCCCAGCCACAGCTGGAACCCGAGGGACTTTAAATCTTGAAAGGTCTCGCCTCTTCCGGTCGAGGCCACGCCTCTTCAGGTTGAGGCCATGCCCCCAGCTCAGGAGTCCAGCGTACCGATAAGTCCTTTAAATTACTTTCACCCATGGTTATAATACACAAACCAGAACTGAATTCAGGTTGTTCTCTCACAGTCATGTTGGCTGTACAATGCTAACGAGTAAAAAAGCAGTACAATCTTATTTAAGTCCCTAAAGCAACCAGATGTGACTCTGAATACACAAAAGGAGCATCTCTGTTGACTAAGAAGGTGCAATTTATACATAGTCACTATTCAGAGTAAAGCTACAGTGTAAATCAACACATGGAATTCTCATGGTAGTTGCCCTGTACTGCAGCATCACCCAGCACCCATCTGGCTTTCCTTCAAATGGCTGAAGTTCAAAGGAACAGTGCAGCTCCAACTCAAAGCAGAGCTGACTGAGCCT